TGTCATTCGGTTACATGTGTGAGGCTGAAAGAATCAGTTTCCTGTCTCCGCAGTCACTCAGCTGCTGCTGCTATGGCGACTTTTATGATGGATATTTTTGAAGAGGTTGTATAGAGTATGTGTGAGAGAATGTGTGTGTGTGTGCTTTTTCATGCTGTCATTTCCTGTGTGTCTCTCTGAACTGGTGATTCAGAGCAGCACCCTGAGCAACAATGAGGGAGAAAAAGAAAGCGTAAGAAAAAGAAAAAAAGATACGAAGACTCTTGGCTTCCGAAATGAATCTCAGAAGTCTAGACGAGACTTTAGTGCATCTGTGTGAATATCGGAGAGTTCAACCTTTTGCCATTCATCCTACCGCAAAGAATGACACAAGCCCTAACACCAGCAGTCAACAGAAGATGAACCTCAGCAAATGATGGACAGATTTTGCAATGCAGTGAAAAAAGGCACAGCGTGTACGCTGTGGAAGAAAAGTGCTGGTGCTGAGTGCTCTGAAGCAAACACAACAGAGGCAGAAACTAACAATGTCAAACTCCAGCTTGAACGTCTACACTGAGAGGTTTTTTTTCACTGAACTCTTTCGCCCGCAGCTCTTCTGCCCCCTCAAGGCCGTGTGTGCTGATGTAGAAGAGAGGTTACTTCTCCATGACAAAATCAGTCCGCCCAAGTTCCACCTCAAACTTGCATATTCACCCACAGATTTCCTTTTTTATGTCTTTACATTTTTGTGGGGTCTGCACATCCGATTTGGTCTGATCTTGACCTTTGCTGAAGGAAACCTTTGTGCACTGGCACAACTTGAGGTAACTCCCTTGAGCTTGGTGCCACACAAAGTGTGTAGTTAAAGGGATAGTTCATCCAAAAATGAAAATTTTTCATCATTTACTCACCCTCATGCTGTTCCAAACCTGTAGGAATTTATTTCTTCTGTTAAACACAAAAGAAGAGTTTGAAGAACAGTTGCTGGTAGCCAATGACTTCCATAGTATTTTATGACAGAATTTTCATTTTGGGGTGAACGATCCCTTTAAAGTGTGCACTATTCAAATGCGGCATGATGTCAGTGTGGCTTACAGTAAGTACGCTTGATCCAAAATATTAAAGGAACAGTTAACAGTTAAGAAAATATCTTGAAAAATGTCTTTTTGACCATAAAATCAAAATCATTGAGATCCAGTGTTTTTTGGACCCCACTGACTTTCATTGTATGGACAAATACAGTTCAAAAAGATCTTTTATGTTCCACAGAAGCAAGTAAGTCTCCAGATTTGAAACGACGTAAGGGTGAGTAAATAGAATGTTAATTTTTGGGTGAACTGTCTCTTTAAATATGTTTGCATATTTTTGTTTAAAGGAACACTACGACATTTAGTAGGTATCTGAATGTATTACAGTAAATACATTGTGAACATAAGACATACAGTAGAGTGAGGAACGGGGACAGAGAGAAGAGAAAGAGTGCCAAGTCAGATGTAGGCTAATGTATGGAAAGACCTTGGCCCAGTAATGATGGAGTTCCCACCTACATGCCAGCGCGCGCCTCCTGGGGCACTTGACTGAGCCAGTTACAGTCTCAACTACCTCAGCTACCATTCACTCACTTCTGCCCAACACAAAAAATGCTCAACAGCTGCAAATGTTAGTAGAATCACCGCATGCCAGTCTCCCGAATGACCCTGGACGTTTACAATTCACAACGGACCACAAACAACGATAAATCTTCCCCTCACGTACCGACACAACATGCGACTCGCTTACAGACTTGCTGGGATTATGGAAACGCGTCTGTAGCTACTCGGTCGACATGCAGCCATAAACGCATATCCGTTCGTTTTCTATAACACCTGACAAAAGTTCAAATGTGTTTCGACTCAGTCACGCATTAGTTGAGAACAGTAAAGAACAATGAAAGCAGACTGAAGAAGCGTGTACTCACCCTGCCCGTGCGCGCGGAGCTGACAAGTATGCAGGCACAAGCCTCACACCAGGAGTGCCTGGCAAAATATCCGCGCTCTGTCTCTCTCTCCCTCTCCCTCCCTCTTTCTTTCTCTCTCTTACGTGCGTATTTCCCACTGATACCCCGTTATCTTCTCCTCCCTCACACCTGCACGCTTTTACAGTCCCTCTTTTTATCCCAGCAAAACGAAAGAGAACAAAAAGCAACGCAGACGTTGTGCGTATGAATATGTAGTAGGGCTTGGGTAGTGCGCAATGGAAAACGTACTTTTGCATTTTGGATGTATGGATGGATGGAAAGATTGTATGAAGCTTATGTCTGGTGTCTGTTTGACAGGAAAAATACGGTTGATATTTCAAAACATTTATGGCTTACAAATATCAGTTTGATAATGCATGTATAACAGCCAGTATAGGATATCCATGCTGATTTTCACTTTCATGTTTTTGCATTTAGATTACCTTTGCAGTCATATTTTTGCTCACTTTAAGTTAATCTTTGCTAATAATTAGCTAAAAAGCTAATCATTTAACAATGCAATGAAAAAGATGTTGGTTCATTCATTCACTAGTAAACTTCACAAATATTTGCAAAGAAACAACATCGAATTAAACGTAAAATTTTAAACTAGTCAGTCTGAAATTGTATTTTGTACAAATACAAAATGTTTCCTTTACAACTTAAAATATTTCTTAGTGTTAAATTTCATTTTTTAGAAAATCTCTAAACAAGTACCAATTTGTGCATTATATTGTAATGTCTATATGACTGTAAGTGTGTGAATTAATTTGTTGCGCCTGTAAAAGTTTAGACCTGTCAAATTCTAACAATCCCCCTCATGTAAAAGAGACAGAGAATGTCAGTAAATTAGTTTAGGTATGGAGGGAAAGACAGATTGGTCAATAGTGTATTGTGAGAAGACAGTCAGGCAAAGAGCGGCATAATTTACAGTAGGCTAAATGGGTGAGTTAGAAAAAGAAGACAGAGCACTCATTTAATTCTTACGTTAGTAATTAGTGCAATTTACCCTAACAATTTTGTCATAATTCAAAGGGAAGTCTTTGCAGCAGCATTCAAGATTTACAGTAGGCTATATGATGCCACTGAATAATTGTTGGCGTTAACAAAAAAAAAGTGCAGCATCATGAATTTGTCTCTTCTGAAACTCAAAACAAGATGCATGTATGATTACTGGGTTCCTTTTAAGAAACATGCCAAGTCTGTCTGGGAGAAACTAAAATATTAAAGAGATTGCATGAGTATGAATATGCAAACGCACTTACACTTTCACTTTAAATTCAGAAAAACATCATGGATAAATGTTCACCTTTGCCTCATCAATAAGCCTCATCTTATTCTTTTTCAGTTTCTTCTCCCTGTTAGTCTCATTATACTTTATAGTGGCCTTATCCTCATGATAAAGTATTTTTAGGCATGATATCAATAGCATAGTACACTCTGACCTCAAGAAGACCTGAAGAAGGGAAAGAGAGAGAGACACAGAGAGACAAAATTCTACATTATATTCAACAACACACGACAAGCAAGCATTTCTATGAACACCGTTTTCAATTTCAGATACTGGAAATCTTTAATTCAAGAAAGAAGATGAGGTCACAGAACAAAAAAAAAAAGTCAGAGTGGGGCATTAAAAAAAAGAGGAGTGACGGAGATGAAGACAGTTACAGTAAGGAGGTTAGGGTAGTTTTTAATAGGCAGGGTATCTAAGTTATATCCTGTTATATCACTCAAGCCCACTGGGACAGCACTGATGGAGCGATGAGTGGAGAGAGAAAGTCTTGAAATTGAGAGATGAGAGTAAAGGTCTGCCCTCTCATCAGCACGAACGCAGACTCCAGAGACGTGACCAGTGAGTTAAGTAATCTATTTTATTTTCACACTTTGAAAACACAAAACAACTCAATACAAAATTGTTATGCAATGGTTCTATCTATCTATCTAGCTATCCATCCATCCATCCATCCATCCATCCATCTATCTATCTACATTTAACCAAATTATCTTTGTTACTGAGGTTGAATCGTTTATTGTGATTGGAAACAAATAGAGACACAGCATATAGCATAATTACCTCAATACATGGAGTTTTCACTGTTGTAGATCTACCTACAGAGATTAGTTCCAACCTAAAAACAAGCACCGCTGTTAATTGGTTGGGTTCAACTGAACGTTTGGCAGGTGTGCTGTAGCTGGAACCAGTCTGCAGAAATGTACAGTCGATCTCCAGGAGCAGAATTGATTTACAAAGTATTCCATTTTCATAACCACATGATCAGCAAGACAGCGATTAAATAAAAGGCTGGGAAATGTCAAGCAGGATCAGGCAGTGATCAATAATTTTTGCCTTGTTACAAATTCCAGGGATTATTTAAAAAAAATAAATAAATACATTTCAGTCGTCTACATTCCACATTCACACATCTCTTTTTACCTAACCTTTCACTCCTCCTAAACTGTCTTTCCCACATAATGCATGAAATGTTCCCACTTTTCAGTTGGCAGTATTTTGTTGTCAGTGCAACTTTCAAGTTGTATTAGATGGACATTTTGGGCACAGGGTGCAGACTCGGGTCTTTCCAGGTCAGGCATCATGATTTTCCACTATGCAAGATACGTGCATGCTGATCTCGAGACCTCACAGTGTCTAAATAACCATATTCATACCAGCTTCACACAAATAACACTCAATAAATTCATCCCTAAATCTCAGATTTCGAAAGCTGTTAAATTTAATCAATCCTATGCACTAAAAACAAAATTTTGGTTGATATAAGTTGGAACCACATTTTCTTCACACTAGAGGTTGCAAAACATTGTGATTACATGGACATTTTTTATTTTATACTTATGATATGGTTTAACGTGTTCATAGAAAATTTCTGTAATTCTGAATAAACATTAACATATATATTTTATAATACACATACTTTATATAGATATGCATATAAATATATGGAATAAATAAATATCTCAATTTTTGTTTTTCATAAAGTCATTTGTTTTAATAACATCGATCCCAAGGACTTATTTTTGTAAAATGCTAAGATGATGCAAACTTTATAGTCTGTATGTAGAGTAATATTTGGATTGAATTCTGATGCATCTATAGAGATATAGAATTTCAGCTCTTAACATTCATGTCACAAACAAGTAGTTTATATGCTGAAGCATTAATCTTTCTTTTTTTTTTTTTTTTTTTTGCATTTAGCTGTCATGTGTGTGACTCCTAAATCATTATACGGAGTTTCTATACCAGTTGTTAGATGATTACTAGTATTTGCTGTCTGCCTGTATTACCTGTCTGCACTTATTTAGTTACCTAAACCAAACCAGGGCAAACAGGATCTTACACAAAGACAAGCAGAAACGCATTAGTTTGATCTGAGATTAAATAATCAGCTTGAAGTGAACTTTAAAACATGGGGGGAATCATGTTCATGCTGGTTTCTATAGTGCACTCAGTTATAATTAGGTCATGGCAACTACTAGCATCCAAAGGGATATCCAATAAGATCCTATTGTCCAATGAGATAATGGCATGAATGCATCACCCTTAAATAATTCAGGCTGATACTCTCAGAGTGGACCGGCTAAATATTATTAATGCTTAGTTTGCTTTACCGTTAAGATGATTAAAATCAGTGTGGTGTTGTTGCAGAAGGTGACTGCTGGTCTAATTGAGACAGACTCCTATTGTAAGCAAGCTGAAGCCAAATTACACATTCTTTTCTTTTGGTCACCATAGTTTAAATCATGTACAGGAGCAGAAAAAGTCAAAACATGGTTGGTGTGGATTGACTGAGGTTTTCTCAGACAGCTGTTAGGGGTGAGGGAGGAAATTCCGGGTTTATGTAGGTGAAGTCTTGGAATTCCTCTTGACTTATAGCGGCGAGAACATCCGGGTCAGAAGGCGTGAGGGCGGAGGGGGCGGATGTGAAAAAATTATCAAAGTTCTCTCCTTTTCTGCCTCCCTGTGGGAATGACAAATAGAATCAGCTGGGTTACGTTTATTTCTATGAAATACCAACCGAATTAAGTGGGTGCTGTTGACGTCAGAGAGGTGTAGAGCACCTCTATTTGCTGTGCTCACATACATTCACACAGCATAATATCCACATAGATTAGCACGAGTAATATGGGTAAAGAGCTACAGGCAATGAGGGTCAGGTTTATTTTGGTTCTTCCGTCTTTACAAGACAACACCAGTAATACATGCACGGATGCACGCTGAAAATAATAAGGAGAAGCAGGCAGAGCGCATTAATAAACTTCCAGTTACATGGTTACCAGTTTAAAATAAAAAAACAAACACACACACACACACACACACACACAAAATGTACAACATTTATCTCCATAAGAGAATGAGGACATACCACAACTTCTGTTGGTTCTATGTAAAGTTAATTATAATTACTGTACTACAGTTAAGCAAATGAAAAGCTAATGTGTTTGCTGTAAAAAAAAAAAATATATATATATAGCAATATAAGTATATAGTTTATATATTTTATATAATTATCTATCTAGCATTTATTTATAATTTATATACTTTATTTTATTATATATAAATATCTATCTTATCTATCTATCTATCTTTAATTTAATTTAATTTAATTTAATTTGACAGACACCTTTATCCAAAGCGACTTACAGTGCATTCAGGCTATACATTTTTTACTAGTATGTGTGTTCCCTGGGAATCGAACCCATGACCTTTTGCGCTGCTAATTATAATTTATTATTTTTTTAACCCAAGCAAATTCTACCCATTTAAGAAAACCAATTTGGAGTTTAAAAACAACTATCTTTTTAATTACTGAATGACTGAATGAATGAATGAATAATGTATCCCCAGTAGTTGTCCCTAAAGGGAGGTTTAATATAATGTTTATCAATCAATCAGTCAATCAATCAATCTACCAATCCACCCATCCATTTACTTACTTAATAAACTTTTTTATCTTTCATGGTGCGGAGTTTCCATTTTCTTCTACTGTTTTTATTTAGATAATGATTTTTTTTTGTTTCCCCTACCCCAAAACCAAAACATCACACCAAGCTTTTTATATTTTTACATTTTTGTAAAGACATTATTGAGCATGTTTAATAATCCAGACGTTATTCTATCATTGTGGGGCATTTCTGGGGTAAAGCCTGACCCGCACACAGAGACAGGTGTTGTGATAAGTGATACTGACACTTCTGGGTTTGAAGGGAGGCTGTGTCTCCAGTCTCTCCAGCCGGTCCCAGTCTATCCAGCGGAAAAATGGATGCTCCCGCAGCTCTCTCTCTGCATCCTCTCCTCCACCCAAACGCTTAGCAGGGTTCTTGGTGAGGAGCTGGGAGAGAAACAGATGGAGAAAGAATGTCAGAAAAAAAATTGTATGCTAATTTAAGTCAATTTCTTTAGCAGCTGTGTTAGTATTAAAGATGGGATAGATTGCCCTGTGCATGCACTGTGAGCAAAGTATGAAGGCAGCAGAGATGAAAGAACAGGAAGCAGATTACCCCTTTGCAGATGGCCACAGCCTCCCGAGAGAGACTCTTCGGATATGAAACGCTCTGTTCCATGATGGACTGAAACAGCTCCTCCTCATCTATACCATCAAAAGGAGGCTGATGAAAAGAGAGAGACAGAGGGAGAGGGCGCCGGGGATGAAGATCTATTGAGAAAAGGACAAAATTAAAGGCTCAGGGAAGCAGAGGATGAAAAATTACCTGCCCAGCTAGCATCTCATAGAGCAGGACTCCATACGACCACCAGTCCACTGCTTTACCATACGGCTGATACGCCACAATCTGAAAACAACACAAATCTGTTATAACCGTTTCTTTTTTATTTTGGGTATAGATTTCCCAAAGTGTTCATTTAGAATGCCTTTTGAATTCCAACTTAATTCTTTAATTTGTATTGAGGTAGCAAACAGGATGCAGAATTATAATTTGAATTTAAGGAAGTAAAAAGAAATTCAATATACAGTGGGTACGGAAAGTATTCAGACCCCCTTAAATTTTTCACTCTTTGTTATATTGCAGCCATTTGCTAAAATCATTTAAGTTAATTTTTTTTCCTCATTAATGTACACACAGCACCCCATATTGACAGAAAAACACAGAATTAATATGAATTACCAATAAACATGCTATCATGTAGAAAAAATATATGATATTTCTGAAAACATTAGATGATTTTAGAATTTGATACAATTGAATTTATATTATTATTATATTTGCATTTATATTAGTGCTGTCAAATGATTAATCGCATCCAAAATAAAAGTTTTTGTTTACATACTGAATTTATCAAATATGTATATCATTCAAATTTGCTGTTTTAATTTGAATATAACAAAATACCTACACTACCATTCAAAAGTTTGGGGTCAGTTAGATTTTTGTAAAATAAATGAATACCTTTATTCAGCAAGGATGCATTAAAATGATCAAAAATGAGAATAAAGGCATTTATAATACTACAAATGATTTCATTTTCAAATAAATGCATAAAAAAAAAAAACTTCACAACTTAAAAAAAAACAAGCACAACTTCAAAACTGATAATAGTAAAAAATGTGTCTAGAGCAGCAAATCAGTATATTAGAAATGATTTCTGAAAGATCATGTGACACTGCAGACTGGAGTAATGATGCTGAAGATTCAGCTTTGCATCACAGGAATAAAGTACATATTAAAATAGAAAACCGTTATTTCAAACTGTAATAATATTTCAAAATATTACTGCTTTTACTGTATTTTTTATCAAATAAATGCAGCCTTGGTGAGCAAAAGAGACTTCTTTCAAAAACATTTTAAAAAAACTTACCGACCCCAAACTTCTGAATAGTAGTGTACAGTAGGCATTTAAATATATTCAATGAATTACACATTTTAATATAACATATTTATTAAAGAAACTTCACAGAATACTCTTCAAAATGGAGCCAAACAACATGAAGCAGGATGATAAGATGGAAACTTTAAGTAGAGCTCTAGGTAAGTTTGTTCTTGTCTTTTAGTTCCTCTGTTCATGACTGTTGAATTTCTTTGAATTGCAATTCAGTAAATTCCATTTCCCATCATTCCAATTCAAAATCCAATTCAACATCCTGTGGAATGTGACCAATTAAACTCACATTCCAACTCCTAAACTTAAAGAAGGCCCATGAATTTTGCCCATCCTTGCTAAATGCTTCGTAATTTCATAATGTTATATTCTCAAAATCATATAAATTAGAAATATTCCCATTACAGAGTTAGATGGATGCTAATACAGCCCTCTCAATGTGCAGATAAGCTCATGAAAATCATATTAAAGATAATTACACAATAAATATGCCAGTGTCTCTGTGTCAGCCGTGAGTGTGTGTGTCACAGCGTGAGAAAGAGAGATTAATTTCCTTGCCTGCAGGGACACATATTGCATCTTTTCAAAATGACAGGGACACAAAGATCAATGGCCTTTTCTCTCTTTTTTTTTACATAATGTGATCAATGTGAGCCAGTTTAACTGCTGGGTTAATACAGCACTGACGCATACTGGGCTTCAGTAGACCCACATTCACATCGCCTTTCCATCACACAGCAAAACACAAACATTGACGATTTAGCACATACATCACTCGAGCGGGATGTCCGTCATGTCGCCGTGTAGTAAACACCGCAGTGAACCTAAATGAAATCACACAGAGACATGTAGATGCACATACACGCAGACATGTGCTGACTGCGCACAACCACCGAGTGTTCATGTAAACACAGAGCCGAGGTTATGAAGGAGAGAAGATGAATCAGACGGGAGCAGAAGGATGGAGTAAAGGAAACCTCAGGTGCGATGTAATCAGGTGTGCCACAGAAGGTGCGAGTGGTGTCCCCTTCCATCATGCCTTCCCTACACATCCCAAAGTCTGCTATCTTTATGTGTCCTTCACTGTCCAGCAGGACATTGTCCAGCTTTAGATCTCTGCAGACCAGAGAAAGAGAGAGAATATTAAGTGACTGTAACATATGGTGTGTTTGTGGAGGGAGACTGTCATCATGTCTTGTACCTGTATATGATGCCTTTGTTGTGCAGGAAGAACAGACCCACCGCGATCTCAGCAGCATAGAACCTGCCAACATGAAAATCTCTCATTAACTCCATTAAACACACATTCATCCACTGCAGGACAGAATGACAGAATGATGCCAAACAGATGAATTCAGAAACAGAACAGAGGGGGTACTTAAACAGTATAAAAAGTGAAAAAACAAGCAATAGTTGTTGGTTATTGTAATGGTTTTATCAGTTGTTTGGACTCTCGTTTTGACGGCACCCATTCACTGCAAAGGATCCACTGATGAGCAAGTGAGGTAATAGTAAATTTCTCCAAATCTGTTTCAATGAAGAATAAACTCATCTACATCTCGCATGGCCTGAGGATGTTTACATTTTCAGCACATGCTCATTTTTGAGCGAATTATTACAGAAGAGAAGTGCTAAACTTACGCTGCATGCGGTTCTTTAAACTTGCCGACGATTTGGATGTGAAACATAAGATCACCACCGTTCACGTACTCCATGACGTAATACAGACGATCCTACAACACAAAACTGATTATCAGCAATCAGCAGATATGCAACTGCACAATACTAATAGGAATCAAAAATGAATCATCAATCAGTTCGCTTGTTCTCATGCTATACAAGTAAATAATACAACAAATGCCACAGCAGATTAGCAGTCAGTCAAATTAAAAGACAAATTAATGAATAGAAACAAGACCTTGTGATCACACAAGGGCAGAAATATCGTATTTTTACAGAAATTAAACTTACATTAAATATGTATTATGAAACTAACTGTCCTTGAACACTCTGCACAATGAATTAAGTGAACTCTGTGTTGTAAGCTGAGACCAGCAAGTTTTCTCAGTTGCTTCAGTATTTGTCACCTACAGCCAAGGCAAGATAACAGTCCACTTTATCTCCAGAGGCATCTGACTACAGCATCTGGTGTCTGTAGGACTTGAACTTCTGATCAGTGGGACACTGCATTTTTCCACTGGGCAACTGATAGCTTTGACAGGAAACTCTATTTCATGCACTTGATACAATGAGACACAGTTTACATACACAAAGAAGTCATTACCAAAACACAGTCACATCGAGTGTTTGTTACAAATTCAATCGACAGGGGGGAAAAAAATCAAGTGATTTAACAAGAGTAATTCAAACCTTCACAAACCATTAAAGCCAGACATACATACACACACACACACACACACACGCACAACACTCCTCTTTTTCTCTCTTTCAGTACTGCAGCTGCCAATGTATTTCATTAGGCTGATTGCCACTTTGCAATATGTGTCTGCTGAAAGAGGTCAGACAATTAGCACTATGAAAAGTCATTTTTCAAAGCAAAATGAGGCAACTAACATTGCAAAAAGGCCCTCCAAATTCATTAGTTACAAAAATTATTTAACTTGTCAGAATGAAATAGAAAAGTCTAAAGTCTAATCAACTTTTATTACACAGGTTGTTTTAGGTTGCCAGTTTTGGACTCATGACAGCATTCCAAGAATATAATTATTACATTGTCAGATGCTTCTGTTATTTTGTTCATCATGTTGACATTTTATAAACCCTGTTAGTCAATATTGTAAAAGCAATCTGTTCTTGTGATTTGTCTCCCTCTCAAGACTGCTAACAGCCTTGTTCAGGGCAAATTAATTGAATCTATCAGTCCCTATCTAAGCCAATGTAAACAACCTTTTAATGAGGTAAAAGAAGAATACTTACGGTGTTGCTTTCATTTTTACTATGATTAAACAGCTTTACTCCATAACTGACACAGTTATTAATCTGGCATACAAACCTCAGTAGAGGTGCATTTTTTTTTTTCAATTAAAAAACAACAACATTTCTTTAGATACACGATGAACACGCACATGTGTTGAATCTAGGCATATTAGAAGCCTAATAAAAGCTGTTTATTTTACATAGAGTGGGTTAACTCATAGTGGCAGCCATTTTTAAATCACATGACCAGATGAATATTTAGGTATATTCATGGCATTTTGTAATTACCGTAATTACTAGAAAATCCAGACATTCTACTTGAGGCCGTTCTCAATCTGAATTATGTGTTTCTACACCATTAACACCAAAATGTTAATATAATTAGACAAAACCACAATTTAACAAGTAACAGTTGTTACACAAATGCTTTATTAATACACTTTATTTCGTTTATTTAGCAGGAGATTAAACACTACCTATCTAAATTTGTGCTGGCTACATTAAACTATATTGTACGTCTTTTGTTTATTTTCAGATTAATCTTGCTTTATTAATACATTAATAATAGGCAAAACAGAACAGAAATATTACATTTCATATTCTATATTACATTTTAGTAGTTACTACATTTTACTGCTGAAGCTGCCATCATTTTAATAGGTTCAGCATCACGTTGCTGAAGTCATGTGGTCAGAGAGTTTATAAATTGTAATTATGAGTTTTGTAAAGATATAAACACTTTTTACAATTTACTAGTTATGGTAAACCCGACATGCTTTGATTGTTTTGGCAATCCTGTGTTAACAGACACTATCACCTGCAGAATGGCATCGGAACCTGAAAACTTTAGTGTGATGCTGCATCCATGCCACTAGGTGTCAGTATACTATCAACCAACACAACAACAACAAAAAATGACTGCGTTCATATTTAAAAATATCCAGTTTCTGCCCTGAGAAACCACATGTGGACATGCAGGACCCACAAAATGTCAGTACTCGTGTTCCAGCTGTGCGAGATCAGAAAAGTGATTTAAAAATGGCCCTGAAGGTGAAGAGTGCATCTGTTCCATCACTAAGGGCCGAATGACATTTCAGCCCATATATATTTAATAATTTGCAAATGTGCATATGCATGTATAAACCTCATCCCCAGGCTCCCACTCTCTTTTAATCATTAACCGTTTACACACTCTCACACACATGGATGAACACACAGACCTCGGTTTGAAAGGCGCAGTAGAGGGAGGTCAGGAAGGGAGGTCGCCCCACGAGGCCCAGCACTCTTCTCTCCACCATAGCGCTCTCTGTGTCCTCATCCTGAAACAGCACGTCCTTCTTCAACACCTTCACTGCAAACAAGCGCTCGCTGCCCCTCTCCTCTGCCAGCAGGACCTGCGGGAAGACAAGAAAACCTAGCGCTAACACTTCTTGAACATTAATAATTAAGAGTTCATCATCTTCTGCTCACATTCCTACAGCAGCGACTCGATTGGGCAAACACAAAGCAAGAGCAGAAAACATCATTCAAAGCGAGTTTAACATTCATAAGGGAACATTACCTCAAATCAAAAAAAAAAAAATGAACAGAAATTCTTTCATTTCATTTACTCGTGTAATCCTGTTCTCTTCCTGTCTTTTTTCTGCTTTGTGTCATTTTTCTATCTCTGGGTCCCAGGTCTCTTCTCCTCTGCTCTTCTCTTTAATCTCTTCCCTCGTTTCTATCCTTTCTTTAGCATGGTTCTACGCCCTGGAGGATGTGCTGCCTACTGAGTATAACCCTGGCCTCTTATATAACCAAATATCTTGTGAGGACACACACACACACACACACAAGTGTGTGCACATGCGTATGCACACCAGATATGCTCGTGCACACACAACATCTACTTTAAAATGAGTTTATATACTGTACATGAACACTACCACAAAAGAAATAAACATTCCTCCACACGCTCAAACAAGAGAGTGCAAAATGCACACACACACACACACACACACACACTCCCATGTCATTCCTCCTCAGGGATCAAACAGCTCAGAGTCCTTCACTTGTGTGCTCTGCGCTGACACACGACAACAGCATTTAGATTCTGCTCAGCACAGACAGAAGAACTGAGTGTTTTGTTTGACCAAAACAAGGCATTCGTTCTGAAATATTCCAACAATCCCATGGCTGCTCTTGGATTTGCATTCACCAGGAGTTTCTTACACGTATCACAAATTCTGCTTTATTTATCACATAAGAAGACTGGCCGAACACCCAAATGACCGTGTGCCTACATAGCTCCAGGTATAATGTCTGCATCTCACTGGGCCTTGAGTCAGAGCTTCTGCCTCCTACTAGAGGAAGCGAGGCAGAGCCACAGCTGCAAATTTTAGATAGAGAAATCAGCACCCTCTTCTTGCAGCTGGGACCAAAGCTTTAGCGTTTCCCCTTCTGCCTGAATTAGCAGCAACAGCCCAGGAATGAATGAGACAAGGGCCTAATTCAGTTCCAAGGACATTGTACCCTTCACACTCCTGAGTGCATCTACAGGGAACATGGAAGTAGACGTGTTTGTTGATGGGTGAGTGCGGTCTCATGTAGCCTGACTTTCGGCATAAAAATCTGGTCTGCCTTGCAGCCTGTTTTGTCCCAAACCCACCTACTTAGGCTGAAGGCCAAAGTATACTTTGACACAAGTATACTTATCTCTTAACCCCCCTCATACAAGTGCTTGTCAACAAGGCCATCTATTGTTGTTACGTTCTCCAGTAGTTTATTGTTTGTGTTGCGTCTCTGCCGTTTCTTTGTGAAAAAACAATCTGGCCCAGTGTTGCCACCTTGTGGACAAAAATTATTAATAATAAAAAAAATGGTTAAGTTGAGTAGCATGTCCAAATTCATAGCGTTCATAAAACAGTAGGCAAAAAGTACCTAAAACAAATGGAGTACCTACTAGTGTTTGGTCTGAGTCCTAGTGCTTAACCAATTGCGTTTGAATGGGAGACATTTATTAAGGTCACTTTATCTTAATTTTATGTTGTTACTTTATTTATCTTTCATGCTACATGTAATCTTTACTCTGTAAAGTCCAAAGTGTCCTGAGTCCGTGTCCAGTTCAAGTACAAGTCCACCCGAGTCTAAGTTCATTCATAACTGCAGTTAAAGTCCAGTTTCGAGTCAGAGTTTGAAGTCCAAGTCCAAAGTTTAAGTGCCCCAACTCCAGAACCTACTATAGAGGATCAGATTTCGGATCCAGCAACGTTTTTTTCAAAGTATACTCAATTGAATTCAACACATACACAAGTTTCACCCTTGTCTAATGTTTGTGCTATTTCTCTCCAGAAGTTATGACTGATAAAAATGTCTTTGTACCCGTTAAAACTACAGTTGCGGGTGTGTCTTAAAGGGATAATTCACAGAAAAATGAAAATTCTGGAATCATTTACTCACCTTCATGTCGTTTCAAACCTGTATGACTTACTTTTTTCTGTGGAACATAAGAGAAGATAATTTGAGAAACGTTTAGCATTTAATGGAAGTCAATGGTAACCATAACATTTTGGTTACCAACATTCTTCAAAATATCTTCTTTTATGTTCTGCAAAAGAAAGTCACACAGGTTTGAAACGACATGAGGGTGAGCAAATTATGACAGAATTTTCATTTTTGGGTGAACTATCCTTTTAACCCCCTGACACAAGAGCTTGTCAACGTCACCAGCTATTATTGTTGACGTTTCCAGTAGTTTGTAGGTGTTAAACTAATTAGTGCAAAAAAAAATTCACATGTGCAAGCTGAGCGTATGGACAACCCTTGATGATTAATAAATTAACTCCAATGCACTGCACTGTAACTAATCTAGTTTAAACTCGAAAGGGACTAATCTATATATTTGTCATAGATTTAATGTCTCTAAGCTGCCAGACTCATTATTTTGTCCTTCAAAGCAATCACTGTATCAACTCATTAACTTGTAAACATAATTTGTTTACTGACAGACTAATTATAAAAAATGGTATCTTTACTCTTGGAAGTTGTGTAAAGCCAGCCAAACAGACTGAAACTTGTTGATCATAGTCAGCGCTTGCCATTTTGGTGTTCAATATGCATCAGACGGTCAGTGAACAGAGTGGGCGGACTGTGGGAGTTCTGTCTGAGTCTAGAGAGTTTCCTTTAAAGATTCTATTCCACTGACAACCAGGAGGACAAATACAACGATTTATTACACATACAGCAGGATCCAAATGTCATTAAAAAGTTGACTTGAAAAATTAGGTTTATTTGCTTTAGTGACAACATACACTATTAATTTTATATCATAGAATTTCATTGTTTCTCATTTTTCAAAATCCTGAATCCTATTTGAATTTGATTTTGAATCCCATATTTTCATTGTGGCCTTCTGGATCCCACTATATGTGTATATGTGTATGAAAAAAAGTATGTAATTTCAAGCACCTTGCCAAAGCTCCCTTTGCCCAGAACCATGAGGAAGTTGAAATCGTGCAGCCTGACTTGGCCTTTGCCCGTGTGCAGTGCAGTGGAAGTCGGACTCAGAGCAGGAGGGGTCACAGGAGGAACAGGCGTCGTCACAGTAACAGAAGCAGGAGGAACAGAGGGCGTGAGAGCAGCATCTGGTACCTTCAGAAATGAGGAGAAAGATGGGAGGAGAGAGAGAGAGATAGAGAGAGAGAGAGAGCACAAGAATTTCAATAAAGAACTACACTGCCCTCCTGTGGATGTGCTATGAAAGTGACACAATTATGGTGCTCACAGAATGTGGTCAGACTAAGATGACATTTACAGAATTTGTAGATGTGGCTGTTTGTGACTGCATGATGTCAAAAAGAATATTTGATTTTAGCTGGATGTGTTTATTTGTGGATCTGAGATGGCCCTAGACTTCTACAGCACTCTCTTGGCTGAATATTGCATGTTGACACTTTTATCTAAAGTGACTTACAGTACATCTGTTACAGGGATAATCTTCCCTGGAGCAAAATGGAGTAAAGTGCTTTGCTCAAGGGCACAATGATGATGCTTTATGGACAGTCACTTGAAGATTGCAGCCAAAAACTTTTCTGTTTTTACCACAACTTATGGAAGGCAACTCAAAAGTTGCAGGCTACACTCCCTACAGTAGTGCTTATGGTAGGTAACAAAAAATTGCTAAGACAATTGCTGAAGACAATTTAGATATGGTAAAATTCACGGACGTAGCTACAGATATTTTTTCTTTTAATTTTGTAATGTAGCTCTGAGCGATACAGATTATCAAAAACTTGGATCTACAGTATCTATTGGTTGTTGACTGGATGGGGGCAGATCTGACTGTGAGCTTGCAGTCGACTGTAAGAAAGAGGTGAAGTTTGTGAGGAATAGAGAAGTCTGGCATATATCACCAGAGAGAAGCCTGTCGTTTCACCAGAAGATCCAGTTATGATAGTTTGATTAAAAAATTCCCCAAAAAAAGAAGAAGTTTAATTAATTAATTAATTAAAAAAGTAGAAACAAGTCGGCACTGATAGCCTTGTTGGCATTCCCGAGTTCCCGGCTCGTGGACCTTTCCCGATCCCATAGCCCTCTCTCTCTCCCACTTCGCTTCCTGTCAACTAACTGTAATAGCATCATAAAGACAAAAAACTGCAAAAATATTCTTAAAAAAAGGAGAAACATATGCATGGATGAATTGTTCGATAAAAGATCAATAACATGCATTTAGAAAAATAGATAGGGTGAATTTTCACTTCACTTTCATGAACTAACAATTAACAATTTTTACAGTACTTCTTAATCAAGGTTGATATTAACTTACAAACATATTATTGTTTGTTGTTAATTCATCTTAGTTAATAAGATAATCTTTGTTAATTTAATCTTAAAAATGTATTAGTATAATGTCTAAATTAATATTAATATCAAAGAATGCTGTATTATTCATTGTTATTAAATTGTATTAATTGTTTTAGTGTTAACATTTAGAATGTTATTACAAAGTGTTTAAAACCTTTGTATAAAAATGAGCTGTATAGCTGGTCAGAACACAAATGTCACACACACGGTGGGTTTCCATGTTTTATGGGGACATATGTGTAATGGTTTTTATATTTTATACTGTACAAACTGTTTTCTATCCCCTTACCCTACCCCTAACCCTAACCTTACCCATCACACAAAACGTTCTGTTTTGTGTGATGTTTGATTTCTGTTTGATGTTCAAAAAAGATAATTCTGTATGATTTATAAGCAGTAAAATTTTCCCACAAGGTCAAAATGTACTGGTATTACTATAGTTGATATACTGTAGTTGTGGGGATATATGATCCCCATAATGTAGGGAATACCAACCCCCCCCCACACACACACACGTTGGTTTTTATGGTTTATGGTTTTATACTGTACAAACTGTATTTTCTATAGCACTACACCATCCCTACACCTAAACCTGCCCCTCACAGAAAACTTTTGACATTTTTAGATTTTCAAAAAACTCATTCTGTATGATTTATAAGCCTTTTCAATTACGGGGACACCAAAACTGTCCTCATAAATCACCTTCACATTGAAATACCTGTCATACCCATGTCATTATGCAAATCTGTGTCCTCGTAAACCACATAAACACTAGGGGTGTAACGGTACACAAATATGACAGTTCGGTACGTACCTCGGTTTTAACGTCACGGTTCGGTATGATTTCGGTACAGAAGGGGCACACACACACACACACACACACACACACACACACAAAGGTGTAAACAAGAATGTTACCAAAAATGAAATGATAAACTTTGTTTAAAAACTAGTAAATTTGGTCAGATCATAAATGTGACAAATCACAAAAAAGTCAGCAGGAATTAGTACAAATAAGCATAATAACATTAAAAAGTGCAGATGATATGAGAGAGTACCTGCAGGTCTGGGTCAGGTACAGGGATGTTATAATACTCTCCCTCATCCTGGTTGAGTAGTTTGAACCAGCCACTGACTGAACGTCTGAATATCTCACTAACGCCGAATGACAGAGCGCCCATGAAGTCATTCCGTGAGGTCCGATCCCAGTCCCAAACCTCTACAGACAAACGCCTGTCCCACTGCCTCCCGCGCACTGAACTACACACAGACAGGAGGACAGAGCGAGATAACCTAGCATCCACTCAGAAAACCACAGCAACACCCTGGCAACAACTTCTGCATCATACGCACATACAAACAAAGAAACACAAATAAGACTCACAAGGTGAAGCTCTCGTTCCAGATAGGGTTGAGTGTAGAACGGATGGTTTTGGTTTTCTGTTTGCTCTGGCTTTTTGGATCAGGAATGAGTTTGAGCTTCACATAAGGGTCCGACAGGCCGTTAGGATCCATGGGTATCAGGTTATGGGCTTCATGCACTAAAACATATGTTACAGATTGAGAACTAATTATGTGTGTTCATACATACCAGTATTGAATATTGCATGAATTATACCCTGCAATAGAACAAAGTGAATATCTCTGTGGTTGTGCTGCTATGCTTCGTACAGTGAATGTGCTTTCAGCTGTATTGTTAAATTGACCTGTCAGAATGACATGCTGCTGGTTGCCTTTAAAAGAACAGCGGTGCATTTTAAATGCTCACATTCTCTGTAGAGCATTAGTAGTCTTCTCACTACTCATTAGTCTCTCTATGGTGGCGCTGATCTAAGAGCCACAGGCTTAGTTAAGCTGACAGTGTAGCTAATGCATTGTAATACAGCAGATTGTGTGTGTGTGTATAATAAGCTTTTTCCTTATGTACTATATGCACACATTTCCCTCTGCTGGAGGAATGTTGAGCTGTGCTATGCGGCTCATAATGCATCTCCAGTGGGCTTCCTTAAACAGCAAATTCTCTCTGTGAGCTAAGGAGCAATTCTTCACTGGGGTATAAATAGGGGAATCTGAATAAACATTACTTAGCTCTTTCTACGAATAGGACATAAAACAAGGGCAGATGTTTTATTTTATTTTCTTTTTATAATGGGTTTGAATTTTTTTGCAATACTTTTACTAAAACTTGGGGAATACATTCAGTTGTAATCCTACAGATTTATTTTACATTGTAATTTTCTAGTAATAAATATTAAATAAACACATAAAATATATGCAATTTATAAATATAACCCAATATAATTAAGAAAGCTAAAATATATAATTAATACAAGCTATATACTTATGATAGGGCTTATCTAGTTTATAAACAAATTATAGTTTATAGAAGTTGATAGACTTATATTTATGAATATTATTAATATGAATATATTAATATTTATTAATCTTTTTTTTATTTTTACAATATCTTGGGAAACAGGGTAAAATGGTTGCGTTTGACAAAAGCAGTCAAAAGTATAATTTGTGTAAAACAGAAAAATTTCTTACTGAAAGGGTTAAAAAGGAAACTTTTCTTACTAATTCTTCCCATAATGCTCTGGAAAAAGTGTAAATGATATTGTTTATTGTGTAATTTTGAGGAATGTAACATAAAAACAAAAAAACAAAACAAAACAAATTAAATATAAAAGGTAAAAAGGTCAAGACATCTTACGTGGCATAGCACAAAAATAAAAAAATGTAGCATATAACAACAACTAAAACATGTACGTTCCCACAAAAACATCAAGGGATACTAAAGTTAACTGCATTCATGAATGTGCTATTTGAGAAGACAGTCACACTTTCTCACTATTAACAAACCATTAACTACGACTTTTGCCTCAATAAACTCCTAAGTAAGTAGCCTACGGTAGTTGTTAAAGGGGTCATATGATGCGATTTCAATTTTTTCTTTCTCTTTGGAGTGTTACAAGCTCTTGGTGCATAAAGAAGATCTGTAAAGTTGCAAACACTAAAGTCTCAAAACCAAAGAGATATTCTTTATAAAAGTTAAGAGCCAACCACGCCTACCTAAGTTCCCGCCGGACGCTCCTTCGTCGAATCCACTGGCCGCGCCGTTCTCTAGCCCACCGGCCTCCGCTCACTCTAGCCCGCCGTGTGTGACGCTGTGTTTCATCTTCTTTTTAGCAACATCATATGACCCCTTTAAGTTTAGATTTTGAGTAGGATTAGGGATGTACAATATGGTCATGCAGAATATGTGCTTTATAAGTACTAATAAGCAGCCAATATGCTAATAATAGGCATGCTAATAAGCAACTAGTTAATAGTGAGAATTGGTCCCTGTTCTTAAGTGTTACCGTGAAGTCTAATAGTGTTCATCAGTTTGTAAAAGTTACAGTTATGTTCACCTGTGACATATATGTCCTCTTTCTCTCCACGCACGGTCAGGCGAATCCGTCCTCTTTTCTCAGTGTGGTCCTGTCCGCACAGGCTGGGGACGCTGTTCTCACAGCGCTTGTGTACATTCATGTCACAACCTCTCTCACACAGACACACAAACACACACATACCACAAAAATAAAAGAGAGAGAAAGAGTGTGAGGAAAAAAATTACATATAATGTATATAGTCTCCTTCTAGTCCAAAAACAACAATTATAAGGAGCAGTCTGCCTAATCCTGTAAACCTTTTAAATCTAATACAAATCTAACAGTGCTAACAGCCACTGCAGTACATTGTGCGTTACGAGACAACATGCTGAAACAGCAAGTGCTGTCAGCTGCCACCGCCTGCTTTATTATTTTCTGAAAGTGTCATGCAAATTATATTAGATGACATGGTTGTTATTAAACGGATTGAACCAGAGTTAAAGGGAATTAATTAAATCTAATATACAGTATGAGATATCTATTAAAAGTCTGAAAAACATCACTCTACAGTTACATATAATTACATGAAATTATGTGTTAATTTAATAACAGTAGTCTTGATGATTATGCTATGCTAATTTAGATCTAAGGTTTGATAAAAATTTAAAACTGAAATTTAAACAGGCTAAAGGTGTTATAAAAACTCTGTTTAAACTACATGAATGTTGTTCTTTACCATATTGTATTTGAACTAGAGACTTCCACAGACAATTCACTGAAAGTTTTAATAATAATATTTCATGTAACTGAAATTGAAATGAATAAATATGAAAAATACAGTCATTTATATATATACTTGCACAGCTGGCAGGATTACGTTGTAAATCCTAACATGCACCAAGAATTCAAGTAAATTAATTACCAAGTAATTGTTCAAAAACTTCCAAGTTTAGCTAATGTGGTCTTAACAGTAAAATAAAA